GTTGTGAGCCCTGCCAGTTTGATTAACTGGTGGTGTGTTTGAAGAGGCAAGGAGGCTCATAAAACCATGTGGGACCTTCCTACTAATTTCACTTAATGAAGCCAAAGGTAGTGGCCCAACTCCTTGCAATAACCAACTAAAGGATGAGAATATATATGTTTACATGTTGTCTGTTATGTGTGTTGTCTGTTAATACATATATGAGAATATGTATGTTTACATGTTGTCTGTTATGTGTGTTGTCTGTTCCTTCTGTCTCTGGCAGACTGCCTTTCTTAAGTGTGCATAGTTTAAACTGCAAGCTTGCTTCAAAATTTTAAATCTAAGGAAACCATGCTGGACCTTAGCAGTCCTAAATAAGACAAAAATTGAGAATGGAGTGTGCAAATGTTTGTTATTTGAGAGGGGCTCCAAAAGAGAGTTTTCCTCCCAAGTGGTAAAATCCTGTATACGTGCTACTTGTGTTCTGAAAGGAGGATTACCCCACCTCCTTCCTCTAGTTTAAGAGAGGAGGGTGATTTTAAGTCTAATGGTAAATGATGTTGTGTTGTAACTTTTGAGTTTGTGAGTACACCTGTGTTCCAGTCTATCTTGGAATGTGAAGTTAACCTAATGTTTCTGCTGCAAAAGCCTAGTTGAGCCAACTGCTCTCAAGCTAAAATGCAGTGTATGTATTTCATTAAGCACATGCCTATGAAAGTATGGTGTTCCTTCTAAGAAAATTATGTGAGTCCAGTTTTAACTTTGATTTGGTTATTGTGAGAGTTATTGTAAGGCTCCTGATATCAGTCTCTATAAGACGTCCTGGCCTCTTTTCTTAGAAAATGCCCCCCCCCCCCTTGTTTCATTCTGTCTCTTTCAGGGTTTCCCCCCCTTCTCCTTCTTATTCTGTGCCAGGTAAATTTACTCCCGAGGAAGCTTCCTTTAAAGGAAACTGCAAAGGGGGGGGCATAGATTAGGCTTACTATTCCTCTGCAAGTTCAGGAAAAATTGTTTACTTTTGTATTCCTTTTAAATCAAATCTATGGCTGTTTAATTATTTGTGAGTGGTTATATCAATTGAATTAACTTTCCTTTATAAAAGATCCTCTCCCTCTCTTAGGAAAAACTGTTCAATTCAATCTTCCTTTAAAGATCATTTCTCTATCTCAAGATCTGCTAAAAGGGTTCTGTATAGAATTGGGTACTTTTACTTTCCTCTTCCTTAGTACATGATAGGCGCATGGCTTGTGATCTCTTCTCCAGTTGTGTCTGGGTACATAAGTATATGTGTGTTTCTGGTAGTACAAATCTTGCTATGAACCCTGTATTTTAGGGTTGGACTAGATGACCCCAGGTCCCTTTCAACTTTCCCAATTTGTAGCTGATGTGTTGAAATTCAGCCCAGATTTGCTCTTTGTTTTTTAAAAGGTGTGAGGTGAAGCCATGATGTTTGAAGCAGAACTGGTGATATCAGGCATTTAAGTGATTACAGTGTTTATCGTTTTGTCTATTATTTAAAAAAAAAATCAAACTTAAAAGTCTATTAAAAGTTTAAGCACATAAAAATTCATATAGTCAAGTAGAATTATCCTTGACCAATCCTGTAAATAAAGGGCAGTAAAAATTTGTCTGCAAATGGTAAGACTGAAATGACTGAGAATGTTAAAAAAAATCAAAAAAAAAATCCTATGAATTCTAACTCTCTGGCCATTTTTACTCATAAATAAGAGAGCGGTTGATTGTTCCGCGAATGACCAGATAAAATGACCAATAATGACAGCCCTTTCCTGTACATAAAGGAAGCACTCCTTTTGCTTGGGCTGAAATTGCTAGCTTTGGTGAATACTTAAATTGCTGAGTTTCTCTTTTTTGTTTTAAAATCTAACCTTATTTTAAAATCTACTCCTTACCTTTCCCTTCCTTATTCTAATTGAGCCAAAAGATGCAACATTTCAATGGTATAAAAGGTTTGCTGAGACATGAACTCTGCACATGCACAGAGGCTAGATCAGCTTACGAAAAAGAGAGAGTGAGAAAGAAGGGGGGGAGAGGAGGTTTGGAGAGCGAGTACTGCAAGAAAAAACCTATCCAAATTTCTTTATGTAAAAAACTTAGAACCATTGAGGGAAATCACCCTCCCGGAGCTAGGTAAGACAAAAGAGTAGGTACTGAACCATCAAAAGTCAAGAGGTTGCCAAGTTTCAAATCTTAACATGCCAAATTCTTTTCACAGGTAAATATCAAAGCACTCCCACTGTGAGTTCCTCTCTTGAGCAGTTCCCCAATCTAACATGCAAAATTCTTTTCACAGTTTTCCCACTGAGCTTGTCTTTTATCTCGTTTGGTTTTGTGAGTACTATATACCTATGCATTATAGGAACAGCATTCCTGACAGATTTTCACAGGAAATAAAAATTTCCCTTTCAAACAGGATAGTGAAGAGAATTCGGACCCACATAAGCAAAATGTTTAACAATTTGCCAATTGTGTTCAAATTAACAAAGGTTTTGTCCCTTCGTTTCTTCCACAGCCAAACTAAGTGAAGGAAATTAAATGTAAATGATTATAATATTCAAATCGATAAAATGCTTAACTATGAGTTTGTATTTACAGCCTCCCAAGAAGAAAATTTTAGAATATTCTCTCCTTTCTTGACTATTATCTTCCTCCTTAAAAAGAAAAGAAGGAAAAAACAACAACTAATTATGTCTTCAGATCCTACAGGCCTATTTCCAAAGGATGCTTTGCGGGAGACCAAAATACTAAGACCATCTCCTCACCAGCTAAGCAACCTGCCAATGCATCACAGTGGCCACAACAATTTCTTCCCATAAAGGACTTGAGAAACTGACTAATTGGATTTTGAAGGAAATGCCCTTGCGCCAAGTTTGGAAATACATGTAAAAGCAGCAAGAATTGCCTCAAGATCACATTATTGCCTCAAGATATAGTGTAGAATTAATAATTTGTACGTTTTGTGTATTATGTGTTATTATGTAGGAACGCTGAAGTGTGTCTGATAATGTGTTATCTCCACAAAGAAAAATTTCTGTGTGTAATTGTTTCTGTATAATGTAGGATACATAACTATGAACAGCAGAAGGATATGGCTTACACCCCAAGTTTTCATGGAGGATTCCCATATATTACAATGCTTTCCAATAGAGCAGACTATATTTAGATTAAGTCAACTGATGATCATATTTCCTTGTCCCACCTGGCACTCTGCAGAGTCCAACCTTCCCTGCCTATTTATGTATTTAATGTTTTCTATACATGAAGTTCCCAGATTTTTACTATTTCTTTCTTTCTGTTCCAGAAAACTATTTCAAATCTTTTCTATGACTTCTCTGCATCTCTTGCAGATTCAGTACTGTCTTCAAGTAGCAATTGTTCTGTATTTATTTACTTATTAATCTTGGTTCTCCCGTATAGCTGTGAAATTAATCTAACCACAACCAAGTATTATTATCGGAACCATATTTTCTCAGGTAGATTTGAAGCAACGCTCCTTATTATTATTTGAGATGTTTTGATTAGGATGCCAGATGAAAATGGGTGTAGATCATGTCCCAAATTTTATTTATTTATTTGAGGACACGACTACCACATGTTATATTATTATTAACAACAAGAAACGTGTATATGCCTTGATGTAGCAAGAATGGTCCCTTATAGAGATAGAGTTAAATTGACTTATTTGGAAAATGCCCTTTTAAGAATGGTTTTCTTTTAACAGATTGGTTTGAAGAGTTGAGAACCATGGGGCAAGATAAATTCAAATTGGACTCAGTTTGAATTGGGCAAGTGTATCCAGGCTGCAATTAGCTTTTTGGTCCTTTAAGTGCAAGTGAGCAACTTCCCATAAGTGAGACCACAGCCTATAATAAAATCCCATAGCTAAAGGCCAAGGCGAAGACCTCTCCCTCACGAGATGTCCAAACCTCTGCCAGCTATGGTGAATGCTAGGCAACATGGTTAAATGAAAGCCCTGAGGGGATTCAACAGACAGGATGTGTTGCTGTAGCACTATGTGAGACCACAGAAGAGCTAGCTTGGCACCCGAGAACACAAAAACGGTGGGGGCTAAAAAAGCAAACTGCATTTTTCAGTCAGTAGTGGACCTTCCTGCTAAATGTAAAGCATACACCACTATTGAAAATGTTTCTCCCAAGAGCTAGAATGCCACAAGTAATTTAGCAACAAAATACAAGAGGTGTTCTTTTATATAATACCCTATATGCAGCTACCTGCACTGCTATACTTGCAAATGACCGTAAGAGGCATGGCTTGCAAGTCCCTTTCAGGTTTGCATAAAGCCACACATCCCATTCACCGAGATTTAGGGTGCGGAGAAAAGATTTGCAAGTTCTTACAGAACTTTAATGCAAATCTATCTCCGAATGGGGGACTGATACGGAACGGGGGGGGGGGCATGTCTTCTTCACTACAATATATCCATTTATTTCCATCTGCCAAGCCCTTCCTCCGGGCAATGCCAGGTGACAGACTATGCAAACATGGACCATTGTCTTCTCAGGATGTGCTTATCTGCGCATATCTCCAGCTCTCTGCATATTCCCCCCCTCCCTCCTCCATCCAGCTCTCTGCATATTCCCCCCTCCCTCCTCCATCCAGCTCTCTGCATATTCCCCCCTCCCTCCTCCATCCAGCTCTCTGCATATTCCCCCCTCCCTCCTCCATCCAGCTCTCTGCATATTCCCCCCTCCCTCCTCCATATGTTAATCCAGTGTAACCCAACCTATCCTTAATGTATTCATGATGTAACTGGGATGTATTTTGCACTGTATTCTGGGACATGGAGGGAGTTTCAAAAGTTCATGCCACCCCTTGCTCGCTGTTCAATCTCGCCTTGAACCTGTTGCGCAATAAACTCGGATCTTCTGCAGTTTGCTCCTGCGTCCGGCTGAGCTCATTTTTCTTCCGCAGGGACCCACGGACTTAGTCCGATGAGCTGGGTGGCAGAGTAACCCCGCACCCAGATTTTAGCCGTAACATCAAGGAGGAGAATCCTGGGATCGTGGCCTCTCTGGTAAGGCTCCCTGCTGGATCATAAGATCAGTTTTGAAATTCCATACAGATCTCTGAAGGACAAACCTACAGGGGACTGCTTAGAATGTGGAAAAAGCTTCACCTAGGAAACCAGTCTCAATTTCCATTAAATAAAACACAGCAGGGATAATCATAGAATTTTAGGAAATGGTATAAGGCATATGGTATAACTGGTATTAGGAAACTTCATGAGGAATTAAGGGGAGAGATAGCGTTGACCCGGAGTAGTTACAAAATTTATGGTCTCTCCCCAAGTGCCAGGGACCCTCCTCCAAAGAGAGCTTTTTTTTGTCAGAATTATTTCTTTTTTTCCAATCTTTGGCAATTAATTGGCAATTAATGTTCTCGCTGCCACTGTGGCGTAAATAAATATTTCCTTATTTTCTTTTGGTATACCTACATCCAATATTCCCAATAAAAAGTCTTCTGTTATTGGGGGCAAAATGTTATTCAAATGTTTTCTTTAGTTCTTCATACACCGTATCCCAGAAGCCCTTGATTTTATCACATGGCCACCACATATGCAGAAGTGTCCCCTCTACTTGCTTACACCTCCAACATAATTTTGATTTTCTTTTATACATTTTACATATCTTGGTTGGTGTTAAATACCATCTATAAAACATCTTTATCAAATTTTCTTTTATTGCCTCACAAGCCGTAAAATTCCAACTCTCCTTCCATAATTTTCCCCATGATGTTACTTGAATAGGTTTCCCTAAATCCATAGCCAATTTGATCATTACCGCCTTTACCCTTTCATCCATATCCTCTCACTCCAATAAGATTCCATAAATTTTAGAAATTACTTTTGTTTTGTTTTTTAATGCCATATTTTTCGCCCCATAGGGCGCACCGGCCCATAAGGCGCACCTAGGTTTTTTTGGGGGGAAATAAAGGGGGGGAATTATTCTCCCCCCCCCCGGTGCGGGAACCCCAGCCCCCAGAACAGGCTGTTATCTGCTACTTCGCCCAGCTCTCCCACAGCTTGTGGAGAGCTGCGCGAAGCCCGGGGGGCACTCAGCTCAGCGCGCCCCAGGCTTCTGGGTGCAGGCAGCTCTCCTCTCGCTCTCCAGGCTTCAGCGAAAGCCTGCATTCGCCCCATAGAAGAAGAAGAGTTTGGATTTGATATCCCGCCTTTCACTCCCCTTCAGGAGTCTCAAAGCGGCTAACAATCTCCTTTCCCTTCCTCCCCCACAACAAACAATCTGTGAGGTGAGTGGGGCTGAGAGACTTCAAAGAAGTGTGACTGGCCCAAGGTCACCCAGCAGCTGCATGTGGAGGAGCGGAGACGCGAACCCGGTTCCCCAGATTACGTGACTACCACTCTTAACCACTACACCACACTGGCTCATAGGACGCTTCATTTTTGGAGGGGGAAAAGTGTGTCCTATAGGGCGAAAAATACGGTAATTCTTTATCCAATACTGAAATTGCAAAACCCTTTTTCTTGACAGCTTTGAAGACCTCATTTATTTGGTGATACTGGATCCACCCTCTTAGGTGGTGTTTTATTTCCTCCCGCAGTTTGGTCAAACTCATGTTCGTAGCTTCGAGAACACTATCCAACCATCTCGTCCTCTGTTGTCCCCTTCTCCTTGTGCCCTCAATCTTTCTCAACATCAGGGACTTTTCCAGGGAGTCTTCTCTTCTCATGAGGTGGCCAAAGTATTGGAGCCTCAGCTTCAGGATCTGTCCTTCCAGTGAGCACTCAGGGCTGATTTCCTTCAGAATGGATAGGTTTGATCTTCTTGCAGTCCATGGGACTCTCAAGAGTCTCCTCCAGCACCAGAATTCAAAAGCATCAATTCTTCGGCGATCAGCCCTCTTTATGGTCCAGCTCTCACTTCCATACGTCACTACTGGGAAAACCATAGCTTTAACTATACGGACCTTTGTTGGCAAGGTGATGTCTCTGCTTTTTAAGATGCTGTCTAGATTTGTCCTTGCCTTTCTCCCAAGAAGCAGGCGTCTTTTAATTTCGTGACTGCTGTCACCATCTGCAGCGATCATGGAGCCCAAGAAGGTAAAATCTCTCACTGCCTCCATTTCTTCCCCTTCTATTTGCCAGGAGGTGATGGGCCCAGTGGCCATGATCTTCGTTTTTTTGATGTTGAGCTTCAGACCATATTTTGCGCTCTCCTCTTTCACTCTCATTAAAAGGTTCTTTAATTTCTCCTCACTTTCTGCCATCAAGGTTGTGTCATCTGCATATCTGAGGTTGTTGATATTTCTTCGGCAATCTTAATTCCGGCTAGGGATTCATCCAGCCCAGCTTTTCGCATGATGAATTCTGCATATAAATTAAATAAGCAGGGAGACAATATACAGCCTTGTCGTACTCCTTTCCCAATTTTAAACCAATCAGTTGTTCCATATCCAGTTCTAACTGTAGCTTCTTGTCCCACATAAAGATTTCTCAGGAGACAGATGAGGTGATCAGGCACTCCCATTTCTTTAAGAGCTTGCCATAGTTTGCTGTGGTCGACACAGTCAAAGGCTTTTGTGTAGTCAATGAAGCAGAAGTAGATGTTTTTCTGGAACTCTCTAGCTTTCTCCATAATCCAGCGCATTTTTGCAATTTGGTTTCTGGTTCCTCTGCCTCATACTGCTTGAGCCTTCCTTGTAGAATTTTAAGCATAACCTTGCTAGCGTGTGAAATGAGTGCAATTGTGCGGTAGTTGGAGCATTCTTTGGCACTGCCCTTCTTTGGGATTGGGATGTAGACTGATCTTCTCCAATCCTCTGGCCACTGCTGAGTTTTCCAAACTTGCTGGCATATTGAGTGTAACACCTTAACATAACAGCATCCTCTTTTAAAGTTTTAAATAGTTCAGCTGGAATATAATCTCTTCCACTGCCCTTGTTATTAGCAGTGCTTTCTAAGGCCCATTTGACTTCACTCTCCAGGATGTCTGGCTCAAGGTCAGCAACCACACTACCTGGGCTGTACGAGACATCCATATCTTTCTGGTATAATTCCTCTGTGTATTCTTGCCCCCTCTTCTTGATGTCTTCTGTTTCTGTTAGGTCCTTACCACTTTGGTCCTTTATTATGGTAATCTTTCTACAAAAAGTTCCTTTTATATCTCCAATTTTCTTGAACAGATCTCTGGTTTTTCCCATTCTATTGTTTTCCTCTATTTCTTTGCATTGCTCATTTAAGAAGGCCCTCTTGTCTCTCCTTGCTATTCTTTGGAAATCTGTACTCTATTTCTTGTAGGTCTGCCTAGGATTCATATCAAGATAATTCTATCATTTTTGAGATTTCATCCCAGTACAGCTTTCGCCGCTCTTTTGTTGACTATGAGGGCCACTCCATTTCTTTTACGGGATTCTTGCCCACAGTACTAGTTATGATGGTCATCTGAACTGAATTCGCCCATCCCTGTCCATTTTAGTTCACTGATGCCCAGGATGTCAATATTTATTCTTGCCATCTCATTGTCAACTTACCTTTCGGCTTTGGCCCAGCTGCTTCATCAGCTCAGAATCTACTTGTCCTTGTCCTCTGCTCTTCCTCAGTAGCATGTTGGACGCCTTCTGACCTGAGGGGCTCATCTTCCAGTGTCATAACTTTTATATGCCTGTTGTCTTTGTCCATGGAGTTTTCTTGGCAGGGATACTGGAGTGGCTTGCCGGTTCCTGCTCCAGGTGGATCACATTTAGTTAAAACTCTCCACTATGGCCTGTCCGTCTTGGGTGGCCCTGCACAGCTTAGCTCATAGCGTCTCTGAGTTATTCAAGCCCCTTCGTGACAACAAGGCAGTGAAAGTGGCCCAATTCAATTCCATATTCCCCCCCCCCAGTTATTGCTTCTTGAGGTGAAATCCACCAGGGGGTTTTAGGTTCTAACACCACTTTATGTTTTTCCCATACTCTATATATCAATTTTCTTATTATATGATTCAAAATTGATTTCTTTCCATGTTTTAATATGTTGTTGTTTAGTTGTTTAGTCGTGTCTGACTCTTTGTGACCCCATGGATCAGAGCACGCCAGGCACTCTTGTCTTCCACTGCCTCCCGCAGTTTGATCAGGGTTTTAATTGTCTTTAAATAGGTTGGTGTTTTCATTTGTCAGCCAGATTCCGAAATATGTAGCTTTATTTACTATTCCCAATCCTGATATTTTCTTTAGTTCTTCTTTTTCCTTTGTTGACATATTTTTTTGCTAGCATACTAGTCTTATTTTTATTTAATTTAAATCCTGCCACTTCCAAATTCAAGGATTTTCCCTATTATTTCTGGTATGCTTTCCTCCAGATTTTCAGAAGTTAGAATTAATTGTCTGCAAAGGCCTTCATCTTCTGCGACTTCTTCCCCCTTGTTAGACCTTTTATGCCTTGGTCACTCCTTGATGTCATTGCTAAGAATTCTAGCACCGTAATAAAAAGTAGAGGCGAAAGGGGGCAGCCTTGCCTGGTCCCCTTACTTACTTTAAATTCTTCTCTTATTTCACTATTTAGCATCAATTTGACTCTCTGATTTCAATATATTGCCTCAACACCCCTAATAATATTTTCTCTGAGTCCTGTTTTTTCTGTAGTTTTTTTCATGGAGCTCCAAGAGATGTTGTCGAAGACCTATTCCGTGTCTATCAGCATCAAAATGGCTTTTTTATCTGATCGTGCTTCTAAATATTCTAAAATATCAATCATGTTTCTCATTTTATTGTGGATGTGTCTGCCTGGTAAGAAGCCAGGCTGATCTCTGTTTTTTATTTCATTCAATACTTTATTTTAATCTGTTGGCTAGGATGTTGGCAAATATTTTATAATCATTATTGAACAATGATATAGGTCTATAATTTTTGATTAGTGTTGGATCTGCTCCTTGTTTGGGTCTCAGTGTGATAAATGCTTCTTCCCATGATTTTGGTATTCTTCCTTCCTTTAAAATTTGGTCCAGTACTGTTTCATTGGTTCTGATAATATATCTTCTAACTTCTTATGAAATGCCGCCGATAATCCATCCGTACCTGGGGACTTTCCTATCTTTGCTTTTGAGATTGCTGCACCTCCATCATCGCTGTTGGTACATTTAGTTGTTCTATTTTCCAATCTGCTATTGTCGGGAGTCTATTTTGTGCTATGAATCATTCCATTTCCTCTTAGTCTTCTTCTTCATTGTAAAATTTCCTATAGTAATTTAATTTTTCTTTGCATATTTCTTTAGGATCTTCAATTATTTTTCATTTTTCTATTACTCTCTCCTTTTGTTTTGTCTTTAATTGCCACACAAGTAGCCTACCTGATTTATTGGAACCACTGGAGAGGTATAGAAATGGGGCTTCTGTTGGGAAGGGGCCGCCCCATTTGTGCTTCTCCAGGGGCAGGAGAATCCCTGCAGGGCCTCTGAGGCTCCCTTTACTTCTTCCTCTCTCCCAGGACCCTGCAGCTTGTTTTGACTACTTGACTCCTCAGGAAGGATAAAAGGGACAGATTCTGCAAACCTAGTGAGGATGGAAGGGGGAAGATGGACAGTTAACCTGGTCAGGTTGTCTCCTGCATCCCTCCCCACAACTTCTGAGCGTTCCCTCCCAGGGACCTCTGAGAGATCTGGTGAGTCCCAGGGGAGGGGAGATGGGGACCTGGAGGGATGGAGGGTGGAAGAGGGGAAGCTCTCTGGCCAGAAATGAGATAAAGCAGGGATTTTGCTGTGGGTGGGGCCCCCAACATATTGGGAGGCTTCCCCTCCAGCCAGAAAATCCCTGCAGGGCCTCTGAGGCTCCCTTTGCTTCTTCCTCTCTCCCAGGACCCTCTAGCTTGTTTTGGCTCCTCGACTCCTCAGGAAGGATGAAAGAGACGGATCCGGCAAACCTAGCAAGGATGGAAGGGGGAAGATGGACAGTTGACCTGATCAGGTTGTCTCCTGCATCCCTCCTCTCAACCTCTGAGCATTCCCTCCCAGGGACCTCCGAGAGATCTGGTGAGTCCCAGGGGAGTGGAGATGGGGACCTGGATGGATGGAGCCGGAGAGGTATTGGGGCTTGCTCAGTTAGGGGGTGGGGGGAGGCAGGCAGGCGGATGGAGATGGAGAAGGGGAGCACCTTTTTGGGCTCCCCCACCTGCCTGCCTGCACCTTTGTCATCTGCAGGCAATTTGAGCCAGAAATAGGTCACAGCTCCCCAGTCACCGTGAAGTATTGGCAGCTCTAAATGTCTAAAACCAGTTCTGTGATCTGAATGCCCTGCCAATGTCAGAAAACTCACTGATCCTGCTTTGCAGTTTGAATGCAGATGGGGCCCCTGTGTGTTGTCTTTTTCTTTTTGGAATAACTTCTTATTTGCTTTTAAAAACAAGGATCATAGGACTAATAAATGATACAAATATGTAGACTAAGTCTTCGCATGCCATTTGCATATCAAAAATAGCAGAATAAATTTGCAGGAATATCTAGTAACATATTGTCAGGGGTTCAGGAGCAGAGGCGAGGGCAAGGGAGGAAACAGAGAGCGAGGGGGAGGAGTCCGAAGAAAGGATGAGTGATGACGACGACCCGAGATCTCCGAGTCTCTCCAGTGAATCAGAAGATTCACAGAAAGGAGCGCCAGTGGCCAGAGCAAGGGGGGAGCCCAGGGGGACACCCCAGCAGGAAGGGACCAGCGGGGGTTCAGAGGGCAGCAGTTGGAAATCGGGGCCAGCGTCCCCAGCAGAGCGCAGTGGAGAGGAAGGGCGTCAGGGATCGAGCTCTGGCAGCTCGCAGCAGGGAGGAGGGCATGAGTCAGGAGTGGCCACACCTCCATCGGGGAGCGAAGAAACGGTCAAGCGGAAAGTGGAAGGTTGGGCGCGCGCGCCAAGTTCAAATGCACAGGAAGGCGGCGCAGTAAGCAGCCCGGAAAGGGAGCCAGGTCCTAAAGCCCGACACAAGGAGACAGGAGGGTCCGGGGGGTCAGCGTCAGAGGAGTCCAGGAAGGAAGAGACCACGGGGGGCAGAGGGACCCAGAGAAGGACGGTCAGGCGGAAAAGGTGGAGTAAGGCGAGGATATTAAGTTGGTGTACGAAGGGCGGAGATTCAGACGGAGCTTCGCCGGTCTAGCCATAAGACGTAGAGTTGCACGCAGCAGCTTGGAAATGGAAACTGTAACTCAATAAAGACTTTTATAAAGCGAACGCTGGCTAGCGTGATCCTCTGTGAGCTGGGATCGGAGAGCAACTCTGACACATATGGTTCATCATTAGTGGTCGGTGTATGAGTTCTGGGTTCATGAATTGGTTTGAACTGAGTTATAGTCACTTTTCCTCTTCTGTTGCTGATGAAAAATACAGTCTCCTCATGGACATGGGAGGGGAGTTGAAAGTGAAGAAAGCGATTTACATATAAATTTAAATTTAGACCAACCAGATTGAGGCAACAGCTGATGGGGAGTGTTCAGGTGAAGATGTTGCTGTTTGTTTCACAGACGAGAAGTGGACGTTCCATACATACCTGTATGTGATGAACTTCAACTCTTTGGCTGGAGACCAACAGCATCTGGGATTCTAATATCCCCCACCGTGAACCCAGAATGGAGGGATATCAACTGTTTCCTCTGTGAATGTTCTGCATCTAGTCATGCCTTTTAAAACAGTGACCAGGCTTCTCTGAACCACCCAGGCCTTCTTAAATGCCGGCTTCAGAGTTTTTAGGGAAGTTGATGTAAATTGTGTTTTTGCTTCTGTTTGCATTTGATTGACCAAAGAGATGACTGACCTTGGAGATGGAGTGGATACCAGCCAACCAAGGCAGTGAAAACTATAGAAAGGCCCCACATCTAACTATTTTTAGTTCTTCCTCTATCACAAGCATTCATTAACTTGGTTCAATGATCTGGAGCTCCATTTCCTCCTGAGGCTCTAATTCGCTTCTCTCTTCATTGCAGATGGTGAGGAATTAGAAGGGAAGAACAAGGCGGAGCACAACAGAATCCACATAGTGGAGAAGTCATATAAATATTCAGAGTGTGGAGAGAACATCCGTCAAAGCTCCCAGGACACCTACCGTCAGAGAAAGAGCTTCGTTCAGAGGGATAGCCTCACTACACACAAAAGAGGACAGAGCAGGGAGAAACCCTATCAATGCTTGGAATGTGGGAAGAGCTTTGGTCAGAAAGGTGCTCTTGCTTTGCATAGAAGAGTCCATACAGGGGAGAAACCCTATCATTGCCTGGAATGTGGGAAGAGCTTCAGGCACAGTACTACTTTCACTTTGCATCAAAGAACTAATACAGGAGAAAAACCCTTTCAGTGCTTCGAATGCGGGAAGAGCTTCGGGGATGGGGCCAACCTCACTTCCCATCAAAGAGTTCATACAGGGCAGAAACCGTATCACTGCTTGGAATGTGGAAAGAGCTTCAGTCAGAAGGGGACTCTCACTTCCCATCAAAGAATTCATACAGGGGAGAAACCCTATCAGTGCTTGGAATGTGGAAAGAGCTTCAGTCAGAAGGGGACTCTCAATTCCCATCGAAGAATTCATACAGAGGGGAAACCCTATCAGTGCTTCGAATGTGGGAAAAGCTTCAGCCGGAAGGACAATCTCATTTCCCATCAAAGAGTTCATAGAGGGCATAAACCGTATCACTGCTTGGAATGTGGAAAGAGCTTCACTCATAGCTCCCATCTCACTTCCCATCACAGAATTCATACAGGGGAGAAACCCTTTCAGTGCTTTGAATGTGGAAAGAGCTTCACTAATAGCTCCAATCTCATTTGCCATCATAGAATACATACAGGGGAGAAACCCTATCAGTGCTTGAAATGTGGAAAGAGCTTCAGAAAGAGCTCCCATCTCACTTCCCATCAAAAAATTCATACAGAGGGGAAACCAAAAAAGAGAAATAGAACAAAAAATATTAAACAACCCTTACAAAATACAATTGTATAGAAAAGAGAAAGGGGGGATATAAACAATAATACTGTTTATGACATTTGTATCATATATATCATATCATTCGTCAACCCACAGAAAGGCAGGCTCCCCCACTTCTCGCGTGACCCCCTTCTCCCCGTATCCCACCCTGAGAGATCCTTCCCTGCGTTCCTTGCAGGTCCCGCCCACCTTCAAGTGTCCTCTTCCTATGTGTGTCCTCCTAAATTCAAAATAAAGGAATCTTAATATAAAATATTAAAAATACAAAAAAAATAGATGATACCCTTCCCATCTGGCTGGGTTTCCTCAGTCACTCTGGGCAGCTTCCAACAAAATATTAAAATACAGTAATCCATCAAATATTAAAAGCTTCCCTAAACAGGGCTGCCTTCAGATGTCTTCTAAAAGTCTGGTAGTTATTTTTTCCTTTGACATCTGCTGGGAGGGTGTTCCACAGGGCAGGCACCAAAAAGAAAACTCCCATCTTCATCTGAAAATCATCTGTAGCAACAATTATTCATAGAATCATAGAGTTGGAATAGACCACAAGGGCCATCGAGTCCAACCACCTGCCAAGCAGGAAACACCATCAAAGCAATCCTGACATATGGTTGTCAAGCCTCTGCTTAAAGACCTCCAAAGAAGGAGACTCCACCACACTCCTTGGCAGCAAATTCCACTGTCGAACAGCTCTTACTGTCAGGAAGTTCTTCCTAATGTTTAGGTGGAATCTTCTTTCTTAGAATCATAGAATAGAATCATAGAGTTGGAAGAGACCACAAGGGCCATCGAGTCCAACCCCCTGCCAAGCAGGAAACACCATCAGAGCACTCCTGACATATGGTTGTCAAGCCTCTGCTTAAAGACCTCCAAAGAAGGAGACTCCACCACACTCCTTGGCAGCAAATTCCACTGTCGAACAGCTCTTACTGTCAGGAAGTTCTTCCTAATGTTTAGGTGGAATCTTCTTTCTTGTAGTTTGGATCCATTGCTCCGTGTCCGCTTCTCTGGAGCAGCAGAAAACAACCTTTCTCCCTCCTCTATGTGACATCCTTTTATATATTTGAACATGGCTATCATATCACCCCTTAACCTCCTCTTCTCCAGGCTAAACATGCCCAGCTCCCTTAGACGTTCCTCATAAGGCATCGTTTCCAGGCCTTTGACCATTTTGGTTGCCCTCCTCTGGACACGTTCCAGTTTGTCAGTGTCCTTCTTGAATTGTGGTGCCCAGAACCGGACACAGTACTCCAGGTGAGGTCTGACCAGAGCAGAATACAGTGGCACTATTACTTCCCTTGATCTAGATGCTAGACTCCTATTGATCTGCACTCCAGAATAAACCCAGCTGCATTTAGTATACAGTGGTGTAGTGCTTAAGAGCGATAGATTCGTAATGTGGGGAACCGGGTTCGCATCTCCGCTCCTCCACATGCAGCTGCTGGGTGACCTTGGGCTAGTCACACTTCTCTGAAGTCTCTCAGCCCCACTCACCTCACAGAGTGTTTGTTGTGGGGGAGGAAGGGAAAGGAGAATGTTAGCTGCTTTGAGATTCCTTCGGGTAGTGATAAAGCGGGAAATCAAATCCAAACTCTTCTTCTCCTCTTCACCAAGATGACACTTTCCCTTCATTTCCTTCCCTAGACCAGCTTTCAAATCTTAATCAACTCAGACAGTCTAATAATCCAAATTAGTATTTCTCCAGTTTCTAGGTCCAGTTTCTATAAAGCCTTTTAAAAACTGTTCCAATGAATCTCAGCCAAGTCACAATGGAAGGGGTATTATGGCAGGGGTATTATGGTACCGGATTTCTGACAGGGTGGAACGGCGGCTTGGGCCAGAGACTGGTTAAAAATCTTCATAAAGATGCCTGCCAGTTGGTCCAAACAATCTCTTAGCACCCTGCCAGCCACCCCATCTGGGCCCATAGCCAGGGCAGCTGTTTACCAGCTCCATCTGGTACGCAGGCTGAGACCCTCCCTGCCCGCAGACTGTCTCACCAGAGTGGTACATGCTCTGGTTATCTCCCGCTTGGACTATTGCAATGCGCTCTACGTGGGGCTACCTTGGAAGGTGACCCGGAAACTACAACTAATCCAGAATGTGGCAGCTAGACTGGTGACTGGGAGCGGCCGCCGAGACCATATAACACCGGTCTTGAAAGACCTACATTTGCTCCCAGTATGTTTCCGAGCACAATTCAAAGTGTTGGTGCTGACCTTTAAAGCCCTAAACGGCCTCGGTCCAGTATACCTGAAGGAGCGTCTCCACCCCCATCGTTCTGCCCGGACACTGAGGTCCAGCTCTGAGGGCCTTCTGGCGGTTCCCTCACTGTGAGAGGCCAAGTTACAGGGAACCAGGCAGAGGGCCTTCTCGGTAGTGGCACCCGCCCTGTGGAACGCCCTCCCATCAGATGTCAAAGCAATAAACTACCTGACATTCAGAAGACATTTTTTAATATGTGACATTTTAGTGTATTTTTCCTCTTTGTTGGAAGCCGCCCAGAGTGGCTGGGGAAACCCAGCCAGATGGGCGGGGTACAAATAATAAA